TAGTATACAGATCTTTAATTTAATACTTAATTTAATATAATTTGTCTACTCATTATATGCTGCTTATCTAGGAAATGGACCTTCTAAATAACCCAAGGCTATTCTATACCATCTTGCCAGTATGATCTTCAGTCTGGTTTTTATTTCCATTCTACTTGGAATTGATGTTCCAAAGTGTTAAATTTAGCTTGTTTAACTCTCACCTGTAACCTCTTTGTCTCTTTGTTTATTGGACCCTTACTGATCGTTTGAATTTGTCCTTTCAGGAAGCGTATTGGTGAAGGCTTTGACGAGGCGCCGGGGTCAGGAGGCGGAGCTCAGAGGTTCCAGCACATTTTACATCTCGCTTCATCTAGTGGAGAGTACGAGAAGGTCTCCCAGGTGACGAACACACCCCTTTTAAGATATTTGTCTTTAATCTTGGTGCACAGGGAAGAAGACGTGTAACAGAACCGTGCTTTACACACACACACACACACACACCAGTTAAGCCGCACACTCATACTTTATATAAAACTCTACTCCATGATATCTTCTCCTCAGGGTCTCTATGAAAACTACCTGTCCATGCGTGTGAGGGACCCCAACCTGCACGGCGTGTGTGAGGCTCTGGACTGGCTGTCCTTCTCCGACCGGTTGAACCATGTGATCATGCACGGGCAGAACTTCACTCTGATGAGATACCTGCCCTTCCTGTCCGTCACCTTCCACTTCCTGTTTGCCCACACGCACGTGCCCCGCATCGTTTATCCACACAGCCAGTACGAGGTAGGAATCGCCTACACGCACCTGATGATGATCAAATAATCTTAAACCATCAATGTTTCACACGGAAAGACGGCAAATTATATATAACTGGCAGATGGAAACAGAATGAATAATATGTGAATGACAAACAAATCGTCTGAGATTATTCTGTCCTCTCCAGGCCTCCTCCCGGCTCCTCAGCAGCAGGAACGCTTTGTCCACCATGTTGGCCGACATCCCAGCATGCATCAGGGCGAGGATCAGCCAGCTCAACCTGTCCCTCGATATTCTCACGCTTCTCCTCGACATCATCTGTCCCAAACTACGGCCCGTATGAGAAACCCTGTTCAGTAAATCTCTGCGTGTGTGTGTTAATGTGGGAGAAGCAGCGACAATAACACCATAGTTTTGTAGAGCTGTGCAGAATCATTCACATCCTGTTTACTTAAAGAGGTGAAAGACCTCGCTGCCCCCCCAATTTGCACTTCCCAGGCCTGACTTTATTAGGACAATGTGATCACAATCTCGACAAAAGCTAAAAATTATATTTTTCTTTGTGACAAAATAATGATGATTGATTGATGATAAAAATCAGGGGTAGAAAGTAAGAAGTAATTGTAAGCAGATTTTTTTATTTGGGAATAAAATGCAGTGTGAAGTTATCAAAACTATGATTTGAATCACAATCTTTTTCTCTCTCCAGGTGAATCCACAGCTGTTCAGCAGCAGAGAGAAGGAGCAGATGCACGAGCTGATCAACACCATGTTGGCATACAACCTCTCATACAGGCAGGACCGCACGCCTGAGGGGCAGTACACGTACATCCTGGAGCCGTGAGTACACACACGCACACACAGCTTGCTTATTGCGAGTGGACACATGCAGGGCAGGTGTGTGTTCTTGGGGCGGCTGAAGGTCATTGCTCTTGTCCACCCTGTGGAGCTCTGCATGCAGGCTTAGAGAGTAATCCCCTTAACACCTGGCGTGTGTGGGTGTGTGTGTTTTGAAGGTAGTTGTGTGGGAACAGAGTAGCAAGCTGGTGAAAACCATTCGTCCGTGAGGTTCGACACATTGCAGCCGTGAAACTGGAGGGAAAGTCGTTTTTAGAGAAGCGGTTAGACGATATGAAGTATCGAGGTATGTCAAAGTAAAAGAAAGGAAAGCTGGACGGAGCACAACTCGGGTTTTCGCGTTAAACTCGTGAGGCCGCGGTTCACCTCGGACCTTCTTCCTCGAGGACGTCGGGGACTCCGGCAGGACGACGTGACTCTCGGTACATCTCGGTCATGCCGCCCCGGGTGGAGGCGGGACCCCAGAGGGCCTCCTTCCTGCAGGCTCGCTGCGACAACGTGCTGGTCACCAACGACTGGGGCCTGCCTCTCGTTTTGGCGCTGCTGCTGCTCCTGCTGCTCTACACCTTCCTGTACCTCCCGTCTCTGGCGCACCACAACGCCTCCCTCTGAAAGTCTCCCGGATAAAAGCTCGGAGCACCGTTGTGGGGATGTAAACATTTTACACGAGGCCCGACGGGGTTATTTGATTGGACAGCTCTTTTTTTTTTCTTTTTTTTGGAAGCGTCTGTTGATTGGTCGGACCGAGGCGGAATTGTTGAGGTGGGCTGGTTTTTGGAGGCTGTCAGTGGGGCGGGACATGCAGAGAAAAAGAGCAGTAGACCTGATTCATTACAAATCAATCTTTTAGCCATCATGCGCTTTAATGTGGGACTTCTATCTCTGAGATTACATCTTAATGTAATTAGATGAAACACTCACAGAGATAAAGTAGATGGACTTTGGATTTACTGAAGTTAGATTGACAATAATTCAACACAATTACCAAATTGTTCTGATATGTGATTGTGATTTAACAATTACTTGAAATTGATAACAAACACAGCGCTAACACGGTTAAATTGAACTGATGTCTGGATTGTATTACTCTGTATTTGTGTGCATGCATGTAGACATAGTCTACAGCTGGATGCATTTATTTTGTTTAGCTGTTTAATTTTACCTTCAAAGTTCATTTCCTATATCAAGCATGTAATTCATACAGGAGCATACAAAAAAGACTTTTTATAAATATATATATATATAAAAAAATTAGTGCATATGGTTGCCTGTGCCAGCCAAAAGTGAAACTACTTAACATTAGTTGCATTACTGTAATTATGTTGAACCATCCAATCCGCTCTTTCGTTGTAGAGTTTGTGTGCTGATAACATCCCTTCATTGTGTAGTGATGACGTGTCATGAATAGCTCAGTCTCCTTGTTGATTAGAATGTTGAGTGAGTGAGAGTGTGTGTGTGTGTGTGTGTGTTGGAGAGAGATCAGCAGTAAGAGGATTATGGTTTTAGAGATTCAGGGTTTTGTGGAAAACATAAATTGTGGCACCAATAGAGGAACCTAAAGTTGTGCTTCAACCATGTGTTTGTGCACAGCCATTCACGCCCTGTGTGTCTCCGTGTGTGTTTGTGCAGGCGTGTCGAGGAGGTGGTGAGGTTCCCGGGGCTTCCGCCGCGCCGCCAGCTGACGTATCAGGCCAAACAAACCATCAGCAGAGAGATGGAGCAGGAGAAGATGAGGAGGGCCGAGCAACTGATGCTGCAGCGAAACCCCCCGACGGCGAGAGCGGTTCCATGTTCTTTGCGCTCGGCGCCGCCCGTCGGACCGCCGGTCAACAATCTAACGTGTTCACTCACCCGCTGTGTTTAGGTCAAGCAGAGAGCGCTCGAGAAGAAGAGCGCCGGCCCCACGTCCACCAGGAACCATCAGCAGAGGCTGGAGAACATCGTCAAACAGACCAGCGTGGAGATCAGGGTGAGACACATGTCCACTGACCTGGATCCCGTCCCCCTCGAGCACTGACCATCAACCAAATATTAACCGCCCTTTGCTGGATCCGCTGTATGAGACCTTCAGACCCTCCGTGGCTGCGGCCTTAATGGTTCAGGAATAGAATGAACCTCTAGGGGGCAGAAAGGAGGATGACCTCCTTCCTGATTGAGGACGGGGGTCTGAAACCCCCCACGATTGACCTCATCGCCGCTGTTTTTTTTTTCCGTCTCTTTCAGCCGGAGGTAGACTTCTTCGGTCGAGCCGTCGTCCCCAAACCCCAGAAACCGCCGCCCACCTCAGAGACAGGTACAGTACGCGCTGTGCACCACGTGACACTCGCGTTCCCGAAGGCGCTGCATTACTGAAATGGGGGGCGGAAAATAAGCTTTTGTGGGTCAAAGGAGGATCCGCGGCCCGAGGGGGGAGCAGCCCTGCTGTTCGTTTTGACCCGCTTCATTGATCAAAGCGAGGGCTCCGCGTGCGCGAGGATCAATCCACGACCTCCTGCGGAATGCGGCCAGTTGAGTCAAACCGTAATCGCGCTGCACTCATTATTGATTATCTTAGTCTGGAAGAGATGGGAAAAAGTTCTAAAAGCCAAAGCTGATAAAAAGGTGAAATTGTTAAACAACAACAGAAATTATTATTTAATTTAATCATCAAAGAGCTCTAAATCCTCAGGGTTTTTTTCTCTTCTTTAGAGGATTAGATTAGAGCCAAATCGATTTGGTTGATCAAAATAATCTTTTTTTGACAATCATTTAATGGTTTAAGTAATGCTGGAGGCAAAACTGACAAACACTCGCTCCAGATGCTCATATTTGTCTTCTTTCTTACAGAATATTAGTCGAGGTGATGACATGTTTTAGCTTGATGTCTGTCTGGTCTTTTAATTTTAATTTAGTCTTTTGTTGTGAAACACTTAATGAAGTTGTATTATAATACATATTGATGAGTGTATTAGCAAACATATTGACATGTTAATTGATTTGTGCTTTCAGATTTTACATAATATTTTATGTAGATTACACTTATTTCACCAAAATGTCAGTTTTTGTATTTGCAATTCATGACCTCCAGTGCTTGTTTTTTTTCCTCAGCACCAAAAAACGTTGAGGATCTATTTTACAAAACCGACTCGACAACAAACCCGATTCACTGTTTACAATCTCTTTCCTTCGGTCCTCAGGTGAGAAGAGCGTCGTCTTTTCTATGGGGAAGGCGGTGGGCAACAGTGACGTGTGGTTCCGCTTCAACGAGGGCATGTCCAACGCTGTGAGGCGCAATGTCTACATCCGGGAGCTACTGTAACACACACACACACACACACACACACACACACACACACACACACACGTACGCGACCGCCTGCTTGTTCCATGTAAGCGCGTCAGTGAATAAAGAAATCCAGCTGTTTAAATTCAAAACCGTCTTTATTTTGATCGACAGTGTAAAGAGCCAATAAAAACGTGTTGTTGGAACATTTCTCAGCAGTCCATGAAAACAAACCTCTAGAAAGCTACTCAGTGCTGCACGCTCACACACACACACACACACACAAGTCTATACACCAATTAGAAGCATTCAGGAGTCTCCCAATAAATAAACATCATGATAGCAATAATATGTGCATGTGTGAGAGAGGGAGGGGGGCTAGTGCAGCGTGGGGGTGCATGGGTCTTTAGTTTATATGTGTGTGTGTGTGTGTGCGCACGTGTATACATGTGTGTGCGACCCCATTAGAGGATCACACACTTGCCCTTCTCCACCCAGGGGTTCGCTCTCATCAGCTCAGGGTTCAGAAATGGATCTTCACAAACACAACCCTCGATCCACTTCACCAGCCTGGGGGGGGAAAGAGGCTGTGAGCACGGATCTGATAATCAATACTTTTGTGTGCGTGTGTGTGTGTGTGTGTAGCACTCACTCGGTAACAGTGATGGAGGATTTCTCTCTGTTGATTGCCAGCTGATACTGAAGGCTTTCCACTTCTCTCCTCATCTGTGGAACGTCTAACTCCTCCATGATGCTGCTGCTGCTCACACTTACCCACAAAAAAAAAGAAATGTACATAAAACAAGTTTAAATAAATGAAGAATTCACACTTTCCACCAAATTTGCAGTTGAAATCAAGATGTATCAAATGTTTTGTTGGGGGAAAACCAGTGTTTGATTTCTACAGTTTAACACATCATTTGTCATTTTGACGCCACGGGGGTTTTGTAACCTGGTGATGCAGCGCGGCATCATGGGAGTTCCCAGCCCCCGCCGCCATTGTAGTAAGCTTTTTTTTTTTCTTCCAAGTTAGAATTACTTACAGAGGTCTCTTCCTCCCAGAACTACATAACCCAGGGAAAAAAACACAAACAAGCAGTGTTGCTTTATAAATCGGCGTTCTTCCGACGCGGTCAGCTGACGTTTGATCGGCTTGTTCCAGTTAAAAAACAAACAAGATCCAAGACGATGTCTTGTAAAAAAAAAAGTGGTCTGAACCGTGACAAACACAACATGGACGTTATCCCCTAGGCGACCAGTTGATACACTTATATAACATAATATATTCATTGTTTGTGTCATATTTATGACTATAACAGAGAAAATCTGTTCCGATGGCAGACCGGAGAGGTTAAAAGGGCACTTTCATATTTTGATAACTGCTGTCTAAAAGCCCTGACCACATAAAAAGACCGTAAATGTTATTTTTCATCTCCAAATATTTTCCACTTCTAAATCCGTGATATCAAAGTTAAAAATGTTTCATTTTGTACATGTCAAATACACAAATAACCCTATTAAATAAACTTCATACTGTGGGATTAATGCACATGAAACGGAACATTGTAACCTGCTTTAGTGATTCGTTCACTTCATATTTTTTGTAGTGTAGTGAACCTACATTCAGCTGGCAGCAAGTACACTTACTGTACAAATAGCTGGAGGAAACGCGCAGTTGCTGTAGCGTCACATTGATGGAGCATCACAACCATTTGAAGGAATGTAGTCAGCGAGAGTACAGTGTGTGCCGGAATGTCCTTTTTTTGGATTACTCTTAAGGTTTTCGTTACAGCAAGTACACTGGTGGTGTATTTGCACTTATTGTAAAGTGTGCCCCACCCTGCCACCGGCCACATTAGCGAGGGAGGGGGGAGAGAGAGGGAGCCGAGATGAGAGCTCCGGCCGACCGGGGATCAGTTAAGTCTTTTCGATTGGCAACTGTCTCCTCCGGCTCTTTTTTTTTTTTAATGGCTCCGAGTAAATCTGACTGTCTCCTCCACCAGCATCCACCCTCCCGTCTCACCACCAGCCAGCTGTTCCATTTAAGAAAAATAAAAATGGCCATCATCATTTAATTCTAACATCCTCTCAAATGTGTCACAGTGACATCAGCCTCCGCCGCGCTGCGACATTATGCGGCTGCCGATCGCGGATGTGCGTGTAAGCGCCGGCGTGTTTGATTCCTATTGGAAACGCTCGACAAACAAACCCCTCATCGCGCACGCACACAAACACACAACCGGGCCTACCGGAGAGGAGCGCGGGTCGATTTCTGCGCGCGGCGGCTGATGGAGGACGCAGACGGGGCTTCGAAGGCGACAACGGCGGGCGGGCGGGCGAGCTGGAAGGAGTTCGGAGGAGTCCTGATCGGTGCAGCAGGAGGAAGAGGAGGAGGAGGAGGAGGCTGTGCGTGCGTGTGTGTGTGTGTGCGCGCGCGCTCCTCTGTGGCAGCGACTGGATGAGCGATGCGGAGGAGGAAGAAGAGGAAGAGGAGGAGGACGCGGCTTTGGTTTGACAGTCAAACGAAGAGGCTCCCGAGTGGAAAGCCGGACACACGCGAACGAGGCGGAGCGACACGCAAACCAGGACACGCAAATGAGCGCACGCTCCCGATTTTTTTTTTTTTTTTTTAAGTCAGATGACCGGATATGCTGATAATAGGCTGGAACAGTTTCCCCAGAGAACTGTGCTAAATTTAGAAATGAGGTTTATGAACAAAGTGGGAAGGAAAAATACAGAGTACGTCAAATTCTTTCCCCAAGTCTATTCAGTCATTCGGGGCTCCGCTGCTCCGGGATTTAAATGCAACCCCGCCATAAAGCTGATTTATGAGTTGTCCCATTAAACAGCCCCTCCCCATGAGGATAAACAAAGCTAAGGGATGGGCTAAACAAATAGAGCTCTAAACACATGCAAATTGGGGTATTTGAATGCATCCGGCAGACATCCATGTCAAGTATCTGGAAGAGGGTTAAAAAGCAGAAAGTACTGCAGCCACATGGACCAGAATCCTCCCATTCAGTTTAACCACTTCCACCGTCAGGCCACAAGTACTAGTTTCGTATTCAATACATTTTTATATAATTACCGCCATGCAATATATGCTGCTGTATCCTATAAAGTTCCGCACTGCAGGACGAATTTTTTATAAAAAATATTTCCCAGTTTCACAAAAACCCAAAGGGAAAACCGTGGATAGATGCCAATAATTCCACCAAAAGATCAAATGCTGAAGCGATTATGGTGGAGTGGGCGACAAAATCAGTCCTGTTGCACTAGTCACATGGTGCGACCTATGACCTATAGCTGGTTGATATACAGCACTATAAAAAAGGGACATCGACACATGATTGATTGACTTCTCCATATTTATTTGTACAAAAATGCTCCTGGGTGGCTTCCATCTGACGTGGAAGCGCCTGATAACACTAGGTAACCAGTCGTAGGCAGGATCGTGTAGGTTCTTGCCTCCTTTCTTCACCAGGAACGCATCTGCCTGTAAAACAAATTCAGTTATAAGGCAAGTTCCCGAATGACATGCGCACACACACATCTGCAGCAGGAGCCTCAGAATAAAGTTAGAATCAAGGGCTGATGATCAGCGCTCATAGTAGATGTCAGAAAAGTAATTAATTGGTCATCACAGGCTAAACATGTTCGAAATGCCAATCATTTGGACTTACCAGATGTGTCCATAAGAACCGTGGACTATCTGAAACACAGCGGCCTCTGACTTCATTCTGACCTGTAGCAATTGGAAGTAAAAAAAATAGGTTAGAAAGTGAAATCTAAGGCAAAGACTACAGATATACTATTAAGAGCCTCAGAATAAAGTTAGAATCAAAGGCTGATGATCAGCTCTCATTGGAGATGTCAGAAAAGTAATTAGTTGTTCATCACAGGCTAAACATGTTCGAAATGCCAATCATTTAGACTTACCAGATGTGTCCATAAGAACCGTGGACTATCTGAAACACAGCGGCCTCCTACACTTCATTCTGACCTGTAGCAATTGGGAATAGGTTAGAAAGTGAAACCGAAGCCAAAGACTACAGATATACTATTAAGAGCCTCAGAATAAAGTTAGAATCAAAGGCTGATGATCAGCTCTCATTGGAGATGTCAGAAAAGTAATTAGTTGTTCATCACAGGCTAAACATGTTCGAAATGCCAATCATTTGGACTTACCAGATGTGTCCATAAGAACCGTGGACTATCTGAAACACAGCGGCCTCTGACTTCATTATGACCTGTAGCAATTGGGAGTCGAAAAATAGGTTAGAAAGTGAAATCTAAGGCAAAGACTACAGATATACTAATAAGAGCCTCAGAATAAAGTTAGAATCAAAGGCTGATGATCAGCTCTCATTGGAGATGTCAGAAAAGTAATTAGTTGTTCATCACAGGCTAAACATGTTCGAAATGCCAACACAATAAAACTCACCAGCTCTCAGTCCAGCGAGTGGTCCGCCTGCTCAAACAAAGCAGGAACAGCCTCCCAACTCTCTGCTGAACCGACTTCATCTGCAAAGCAAACGAGAAGGACGCTAAAGTACAAAAGATACCAGGTTTGAATACCAATAGAACGTCAGATGTTATCGGCCATTCCGCCGATGGTTGTGGCAATACGGTTAAACCTTCGTATGGAAGGACATCCCACGGTTGTACGGATAGCTGCATATTGTATTTGAATAGTCTGCGATTGGGAAATATCTACATTGTAACAAACATGTCGACGAAGAGCCACGTGTTCACAAAGTCGTTTAGGAACACCACATTCTTTGAAATGAACACACGATAGTAACCAAAACGTTTTAACAAGTTGGATTACTTACTTTACTTTATAGCAATACGGTTCAATAGGTCACATGTTACAGAGGTTGAAGCACCACGTGGCAGCACTGGCCCGCCACGTGGTGCTGTTGAAACCAACGTTAAAGGTTAGCATACGTGGTGAGCACGTTAGCAACACGATACTCACTTTCTTCACCGGTCTGGTTTCTTCACAGCAAACTGGCCCCGCGCTGGTTCTCTTTGCTGCCGGGGGATCAAGTTCACAAGACGCCGCATGTCGAGGCTGCAGGCGCGGGTCTCTCTTGCCGTGTGTGGTGAAGGAAATGCACGTTCTATCCAGATGCGCCAGAGGAAATGTACTTATACGGCTTCCGTCTAACGGAAGTCCCGCCCCTCTCTGGGATGGCTAGTGAGCTACAAGGCGGGTTAGCTTCCTCGCTAAACGCTAGCTTCCTATATTTATGGATATTGTGATGGGCTTTTGTGGCCATGTTCGAGCATGTCGAAGCCTCATTCAGGTAGTGGGGAATGCATATTAATTTAAACAAAGAGAAACTACGGGGTTGTTCTAGCATTGAACAACAACAGAAGAAGCTACGCCCTAGCCCACACGGGTAATGGTTGAAGCTAACGTTAGGCCTCTTTATTCAGATGTAGAAATACAATTATAATTCAGAGAAATATGAGAGCAATGGGTTTGCTGCATTGATTTGATACACATACATTTGATTAATACCATTGTTAGTTGCTTTTTTACTAAAACTGGCAACATTTCAGATATTAAGTCTACATAATATTGTAAATTCCTTTAACATTCCAATATATTTGTTATTTATAGAATGTACTCTCCTAATGTATATTAAAATGTAATCTGTCGTCCACCTAACCATACATAAGTGGGCTGTCATATTGGGGTTGCTAAAGAGAAAACATCTAAAAATAGTTCCTGCCAGTTCATTGGGTTCTAAAATAACACTAAGAGTCATGTGAGGTTTAGTTTATACATTTATTCAGATCACAGCTGTACAGGAATGCATCTTCACAGCAGAAACACAACCTAAACCCAACCATCGCACAACAGCCGTCACAACACATCCAGAACTCAACCATAAATGTACAGGCTCAATCACCTCACCTCATTTCAATGTTTATAATTATCATCATTATTAATTATTATTCACATAGAACCATCTGTCTCTCAAATATATCTTTGTTTTTAAAGAGCATAAAAATACAAGTGGACTTTTCATCGGGATGAACACTGGTGGTTGTTCCACTGTCTGGCCTACGTGGGCGACCAAGGAAAACTGGGGTGCCGATGAGCAGCAGAGCCAATTTCTTACAGCTTACAGAGGGGACTTCTACGGGCTCGTACAAAGCTTCTCAATGGTTACAGGAGGACCGCAGACAGGGTGATTGATTTTGGGGGGGGTCACTTTGGACTCTCAACGTTACAACTCAACGTTATGCTACATAACAGACACACAAGGAGCGAGGTTTCATAAGGGGACCATGAAAAAAAAGAACATTAAATATGTTTCAATGGAAAAGAAAAGAAAAGAAATCAAAAAACGCTTTGAATATATGAAGAAACACTACCAAGGCACGGAGAGATGCAGAGATAACAAAACGGACACGGGAGGAGATCAAAAGGAGGGGAGACAAGATAGAAGGTGGGCCGATTAGAGGCAGTTTCACTAACCAACACTAGAGGGAGCTCTAACAGCTGAAATACCCAGGTATATTATAAACTCTATGTATACTGGATGTACTATATAAAGCATTGAAATATAGGAGTATCTTTTAAAAACACTGTTCACTGCAGCAGGACAAAAGGATACACCGCATGAGTGTGCTTGTATATATGTGTCTTTGCATGTAAATGTGTGTATGTGAACGTGGAGATTCATTTCCAAGCAAACCTCCATAGATGGAGCTAAACACCAACAAAGCAGAACACCAGCAAGATTAAAACCAATGTAGTGTGGGTGCACGTTTGTGTGCGTGTGTGAGTGTGTGTTTGCAAGTGTCTCAAAATCCATGGACACACATCTATATTATTGTTCTGATCATTAGAATAACTACTGTACGAGTGGGAGGACATTGACATGAGCATCAGCAGGGACTACACACACTCGTAACGACAACAACGGCAACGGTAACAACAACGGCAACAACAACAACAACAACAACATGGAGAGAGACGACACACAGGTCAGGAAGTCCGGCTAACCACAACCTCATACAGAAGAGAAGTAGAGGCTTCGATTCATCCGTTTGACATCGCAGGGAGGGGGACAGACTCAGAAAGCGGCCTGTCTTTCAATGTGCTTTTAAAAACTCTCTCCGGCATCTCATCTGTTTGCATCTCGTCTTATCGATCTATCCATCCATCAATCTGCCTGTCACGTCTGTCAGTCACTTTGTGTGCTTATTTTTTTATTTTATTTTTCTTTGCAAGCAATATGCTTATCTGTTTGCCTCCCTGTCTGACCGAGATAGCTTCTGCATCGGTCTCCAGAGGTGGAGGGATTGTGCTTCTGGGTCCACGCGACTCGCTGGGCTGCAGAGGTCAGAGGTTGTGTGAGAGCGGCCGCCTCGCATCGGAAGGAGCGCCAGAGCTACTGCACCTGGACGAAGAGGACTCCCCCCCCCCCCCCTTCCCTCCTCTCGGGGTATCACCGCACAAGGCTACATGAGAAGCGCTCACGCACGAGTGACATGCGCACAAACACACACACACACACACACACACACTTAGAGCGCCAGCGTCGAGCCTTGGGAGTGTTGTCTTGATACGCCTACGGATGGCGGGGGGGGCGGTGGGGGGGGAGAAGGCTCGTTGCAGATGAAACCTGGGCACGGATCAGTCGAGCATCGCATCCAGTTGGTCTGCCAAGTCGTCAAACATGCTGCCGATGTCGTCCAAGATGGAGACTGCAGCCTTTTTGCTGGAGAGGGAGACGGGGATGTGAATGAGGCAAACGCACCACAGTCAAAGAGGAATGGAGGAGAGTGTAAGCTGCTTTCTTGGTTTGCATTTTAAAGATGTCTTTATGATTAACGGCATCGATTTTCTTTGTCGGGGCAATTGATATAAATACACCAACCTAGTATTCTTCTGTTTGTTTTGACATGAGGCTTTAAATACTACAGCGTGCATCAGCTCTTAGCAACCGTTGCTAAGGCACAGAGTCTAGCCAGAGGGATAAATTGGGGAGAAAACATGATTCATCAGGTTTCCATGAAGTCTGAACTTTGTCGTCACCTTCAAACTCTGATTGTATGTTTCCAGGGAGTTTTTTTTTTTCTCAGAAAATTGTTACCACATTGTCCATTATCACCAAACCACAGCTGAACCCCCCCCCCCAAAAAAAACAGTTCCAGTAAGAGACTCTCTTGAAACCACACGTATTCAAAAACGTCTGTTTTTAGTTTTCATGTGTCACACAAACAACATGTGGCACACTCATTAAGGCTCTTTGGGGAAACCCCGGCTATGTTACCCTATCTTCAGTCGTTATGCTACGCTAGGCTAACCTCAGATATTATCTTCTAATCTACTTCGTGTGAAGAAAGATGAGAAGCATATTTGCAAAAATGTTAAACTATTTCTTTTAGATCTCATCGTTGTCTGATGAGCAGGACTTTAAGTTGGAATAACTATAAACACTTAAATAGTCCTTTTCCTCTACATCATGGGAGGAAAAAATCAACTCATTTTGGGAATTTGGAAGCGAAATAATGTTTGATCCAGAGAGATCATAGTTGGATGTAAATGGTTCCTCCTGTGTCAAAATCAGATGATTAACTTGGTGAACACTCACTCATTTTGCGTGTCCTCCTCTTTGATTTTATGTTCAACAGCCTGCACAGCTGCAGCCAAGGAGGCGCTGGTCTCCTCCAAGCGATGCTGCACCTCCTCCCCCTGCTCGCCTTCCTCTACGCGACGCTCCCTCAGATTCTCCTCCTCCGCTTTCTTCCTCTCCTCCTCCTGCTCCGTCTGCCTCCTGTGCTCCCTCTCTCGCCTCCTCTCCTCCTCTTTCCTCCTCTCCTCCTCCTGCTCCGTCTGCCTCCTGTGCTCCCTCTCTCGCCTCCTCTCCTCCTCCTCTTTCCTCCTCTCCTCCTCCTGCTCCGTCTGCCTCCTGTGCTCCCTCTCTCGCCTCCTCTCCTCCTCCTCTTTCCTCCTCTCCTCCTCCTCCTCCTCCTCCGGCTCCCGTCCGCCCAGCAGGTCGATGGAGAGGCCGGCGATGGACGAGCGGGGGGGCTTGACCGGGTGCGGGGAGGGCGTGGAGGGACTCTGGGCCGGAGAGGGAGAAGCGAGGGGGAGTCCCGCAGAGAGTGAGGGAGCGGACGGGGCGTCGGGCGCTGGAAGAGGAGCGGCAGAGAGCGGAGAGGAGGGTTTCGGGGGCGCGGTGGGGCTGGCTGCAGCGGGGCTGGTGGCAGCGGGACTCATTGCAGCCGGAGCTGCTGCGGCTTTGCCCGGTTTAGGTGCTGTTGGCGGCCCGCGGGGTTTCGGGGACACGGGAGGAGGGACGCGCTTCGGCTCTGGTCCGAGAGGAGCAGAGAGAAAGATTTTCAGTTTTCTTATAGAGAAATAAGCAGTCAATCACGT